CATGAATTATGGTTAGATCTGAAGACCAGATATGGAGGTTCCAATGGACCTCGTATTCACCAACTGAAATCTGAGTTTCAATCTTTGCGTCAAAAGGGACAAACTGTGGTTGTCTACTATAACCAATTTGTGACTTTGTGGAACAAGCTATATGGATCTGTTGATCCAACGTGTGGTTGCCGGTGTGAGGCTGCGGCTTTGATTCGGGCGCGCGAGGAACAGGAGAAGACTCATCATTTTTTGCTCGGGCTTGACGACGAACAGTTCGGTCACATCCGGTCTCAGATTATTGCCACCGAACCTGTTCTGGACATACACCGGGCTTATGCACTCATCGTTCAAGAGGAACGCCACAAGAGCATTGTCTGTGGCCGAGATGACCGTACGGATGCTCTTGCCTTTGCCATGCAACGTCCTGCTCATACCATGGGTCGTGGAGACCCCCCCAATTACTCGTGCACGCATTGTGGAAAAGATGGACATTCGGTGGACCGGTGTTATCAATTGCATGGTTACCCGCCCGGAAAGGGGCGTGGGGGCTGCGGCACTACATCGGGCCGTGGGGGTCGCGGCAGAGGCCGAACGCCGTCCGGAGGCAGTAGCGCCCCTGGCCGTGGGACTGGCCGAGGGGTAGGATCGGCGATAGGGGGAGCAAATGCAGCCACCAATTCCAACGCCCTAGGCCTCACACCTGATCAGATGACTCGGTTACTTTCCATGCTCGACGTCTCTTCTTCCGACAAGGATACTGGGTCTAATGGTGAGGCATCGGCTCGTGAGTGGCTTATTGACAGTGGCGCCTCTCATCACATGACTGGTAATATCTCTCTTTTAACTGATGTGGTTCCCATGGCCCCCTGTGTCATCACGTTGCCCAATGGCACACAGACTACAGCCACTCGATGTGGCCGTGTGCGGCTCTCACCCGAAGTAGTGCTTCGGGGCGTTTTGCTTGTTCCTCATCTGCAGTGCAATCTTGTTTCTGTTGGTTGTCTTATTCAGGATACCTCTTGTCTTGTTATTTTTAACAAAAACTGTTGTGTGATACAGGATTGTGTCACGAAGATGGAGATTGGACGGGGTGATGCACACAATGGAGTTTTCCTGTTTCGTCCATGTTCTACAGCATTTGCTACCCAAGTGGATCCTTCTCTCCTTCATAAACGCTTGGGGCATCCATCTGTTCAAGTTTTGTCGTCTCTTATTCCTTCTGCCAGTAGCTCTAAACTTAAATTATTACAATCATGTGAAATTTGTTTCCAATCCAAACAAGTTCGTAGCTCTTTTCCTATTAGTTCCAATAAAGCTACAAGTGTTTTTGATCTAAT